GGGGGGGGGAACACCGGGCGTTATCAGCCCCCGACTTGCGGTCGTGCCGCGGGGCAGCTGGCGCAGATCTGGCGCTTGCTGGCGGGCGTGCCGGGCGAGGCGCCCTATCTGCATGTGCGTGTGCATGCCTGCGCCCCTGCCACCCTCACTGCTCTGCGATAATAAACCTTGTCACCTCCTTCCTTGGCTCTCGTCTTGTGCCTCCTTCGCCCATCGCCCCGGCCCTGGCACCCCAGGACCCCCCCGGAGCTGCTGCTTGACCGGCTGGGGCATGGGCTAGCCGGGGACTGCTAGCCCCTGAGTGGGCAGGTGTTCCCACTGGGATGGGGGAACAAAAGGTGTGTGGAAGTGAGGTCCCGGCCTCCCTGTGGTCACCGTGTCCCCGTGGGCTCCTTGCCCCAGCCCTGGCCAGCCCCAAGCCAGGGTAGAGCCTCGTCCTGCTCCCCCAGGGGTGAGTGTGGAGCCAGGAGGCTCCGGGCTGGCCGGTGAGCTCCAGCTGCGTCGCCCTCTTTAACCCGGGTAGCTCATCACTGCAGGGGCACCCCAACCAGTGGCACCCCGGGGCTCAGAGCTGGGCTAACATGGGTCCAAGGCTCTGTCCGTCCCAGCAGCAGGGCTAGTGGCAGCAGCTGGTGCCACCCCTGCTGCCCTTGTCCTGACAGCGGAGCCCCAGCCCTGTGTCCCCTTCCTTGCCCCGGGGGACAGCGGGGTGGCTCTGGGGGTGCCCATCCTTCTCAGGGTCCTGCTAGCAGGAGACAGTGACAGCCAGCGATGGGGGTCACAGCGGGGAGCTGCACTGCACTGCCCTCCCTAGGGAAAAGATGGTTCCCTCGTGCCCTCAAGACCCTTGGTGTCCCCCTCCCCGGGCTGGGCAGGGACACGGGCAGGACAAAGGGTCCCGTGCCCCGCAGCAGGGTGTTCCTGCAGATAGGCCGGGTGGGGACAGCTCAGCAGCCCCCACCGGCTCCTTATCTGCAGCCAGACACTGCCCTGGAGCAGCACGGCTAGCGGGAGGGCTGCAGCACCCGGGGGTCCCCACAGCAGCTCCGTGGTGCCGGCCTGGGGGACGCTGGGGTCCCCGCGGGGTGCAGGGCCCCAGGGCAGGGCTGCCCGTGGGTGCTGAGCAGGCAGCAGGGCTGGCGTGGGGATAGTCCCGTGGGGCTGGCAGGGCCTGGGGGGCTCTTGGGGACACTTTGCCTATGTCTCTGCTCTAGGTGCTGTCGGGCCTGTCCCACAGTTTGGGGAGCACTACAATCCCCCCACCCCCAGGACACCTTTGAGTCACAGCAAGGGATAAAGACAGGGGGGGACAGTCCCTTGCAGCCCCCAAATCCCGACATCCTCACACCCGGGGACAGGCTGGTGCCAGGGTTTGACCCTGCGCCACCCCCTGCCAGGGTCTGCCCAGGCTGGGGGTGATGCTGCCCCTGTTCTTGTCACACAGAGGTGACAGTGGGTCTGGGGACACTTTGCAGGGCAGGGCAGGGTCCCCAAGAGCTGGATGCTGCTGCTTATCGGGGCCCCCACGCAGACGGGCTGGGCAGGGGGTTATCACCTCCCTGCAGGCAGCTTCCAGGAACGTCGTCGTGTCCTGGCGCAAACAACCAGGCGTGATGGCACGGCGCTTGCTGCAGGACGTGGCCCTGTGGGGACAGACAGGGCTGGGGACACCGATGGCCAGGGTCATGCACAGACAGGCAACACTCATCGTCAGGGGCTGCAGCCATTTGGGGACACACGTGGCCAGGGGACAAGTATGACCGAGGTCATGTGCAGTGAGGTGACGCAGACCTCTTGGGGACACACATGGCCAGGGGGGTATGTCCTTTGGGGACACACAGCTGGGGGATCCATCCCTCTAGGGGACACATCCCCCTGGGGGGGGGTGGTCACAGACAAGCAGGGGACGTGTGCTCCCACAGGACATGTCCCTGCAGGCTGGAGGACACATCTTTTTTTGCGGGGACACACACTGCTAAGGGACATATGGCCAGGGGACACAGTGCTCTGGAGTCACCCACCCCAGGGGGACACAGGCACCCTGCACCCACATGTTCCCCCCACCCACAACCCCAAGCCCCATCCCCATGGGGCTGCTGCTCTGCCACATTCAGAGCCCCTGTCCCGCAACTGGGAACCAGTTTGCAATGGATAGCTTCCAGTTTGGGGTCCCCCCATCTATGGGGAGGGACCGTTCTGGTGACCACAGGGGAAAAGGCAGGAGGATGGGAAGCATGTGGGGGGACATCTCACGTGCATTTGGGGGGCCCCTCACAAACCCCCCATTCCCAACCCCCCTGTGGGCTATGCCAGGCTGGGGGAAGCTGCTTGGGGCTGTGACCCCCCCGGACATGAAGGGGTTAAGGGGCCCCGTCCAGCTGTGCAGTGCAGATGTGAGATATGCAGATGAGGCAGAGCAGGTTTTATAAGGCGGGTGCAGACCCAGCACCCCACAAAACCGCAGTGCCACCCCCATAGGTAGGTGCCACCTCCTGGGGAGCTGCTCTCCTGCTCTGGGGTGGTGGGATATTGGGGGGACAAAGATGAGGTAGGGGGGACGTTGGGGTCAGGGGGCTATTGGGAGCCTCTGTCCTGTTCTGGGGTGGTGGGATTGGGGGGGCAGGGAGGATATAGGGGGGATATTGGGGTCAAGGGGCTCTTGGGACCCCCTGTCCTGCTCTAGGTGGTGGGATTGGGGGGGGACAGGAA